GGCATTTGTTCGCGGTTTAGCCTGGGGATGACATGTCCGGGGGGCGGGGCTGACAACTCCGGGAGGGCCCTCCTGTGAATGGCCACGTCATCCGAGTTCAGGGTTGATAGGGCTTTTACGGGAACACCCGGATACCAGAAAACAGGATTGTTGTCAGCGTTGTTAGCCAACACCCCTACACTGACCCCGAACGCCTGGCATTGTCATGCTGCAGAGGGCTTTGGCATGTTGATTAATTATATATAGACTTTTTTTCTCAGAATGCAGATTTAATGTTGCACTGAGTTAAATGAAGAGACCTTATTTCATTTGTTCTAGCAGCCCTTATTCCAGTTGAGGCCATTGTTAGAAGACCTTCTTGTATGTGTTTCGGTTTGGGGGGTCCTAGCAGAATCCGGACCAGTTCTCTGTTCTCTTTCAAGCCATCCCCAGACCCCTCAGCGCCGTAAAACGTAGGAGCCTCATCTCGTTTGCCTATTGGAATTTTTTTGGGGTGCCGAATTGCTAAGGGGGGGAGGTGCCCTTAAATATGGTGCAACACTACATGTTTCTTTAATAAGGGTGACGGAATTTGTGAGAACAGTGGGCTTCTCTCGAAGCTTGGGGATAGAAGATCTGTCAACTATGGCACAGCTGCTTCAAGATGATTGCTTGTTAGCTTCGCAGCGCTCTGCAAAAGAAGCCTCCCAACAAGTAGGGATCTATGGTTGAGGAGCCCGGCCAGGAGCTTTAGGATGCAGCTTCAGGCTTGGAACCTAGAAAACATCATGCAGCGCTTGGGGTTGAAGCTCAAGTTTAGGGTTGTTCGGCTTGTTGGTTACGAGTCTTCTGTAAGGTTGGGGGATTAGGGTTCAGGGCTAAGGTTTTGGTGCCCAGCCCTCCTGCGAGAGGGTCGCGCTGCATGGTCAGAACTTGTCTTCGAGAAGAGCGCAACACCTGAGATGTTGAACTAGGAACCACTGGACTAGGGTTTAGTGTTGCAGGCATGCGGCTTAGGGTTCAGGATTTGGGTTAGAAATTTTGCTCTTGTGCATCTCAGGTAGTAGGTTTAATCGGGGAGAAGGGTGAGGTGAGGGTTGAGGGCTTTGAGCTTAGGGCATATTCTGAATGAGGGTCCATGGCCTCCCCCTGGTGCCTATCACGAAATGTGTTCCTCACTTCAGGAGGTCCCGGATGTGAATTTTCGATATATAGGCTGAGGCTTCAGGGATGAGAAGTATTGGTTCGGAGCTGACACACCCCAAGCGGACCCTCAGATGGGCTTCGGGGCTTAGATCTTGGCGGGTTCCCGCCTCAAACCTCCAAGTCCCACGTCTCGTACCCTTTGGGGTTGAGGGTCCAGTTTGGGGTTGAAGGGTTTAGGAGGGGATTGCAACAGTCGAGGTCGCAGAGCCTCCATTTCTCCTAGCGCCCGTGCTTGCAGAAGAAGCAACAAGAAAACACATCATAGAGAACCTCCCATGCGTTCGATTTTGGTATCCCAGCGGACAGCTTTTCATGCCCATAGCTTTGGGAGGGTGGAGGAGAAACATGAAAGAAGGTTCAGCAACGTGTCTGTTTTAAGCGGACCGAGGGTCCAGGGTTGCCATACGTCCACCTGGAAAAAAGAGTGTAGAGCTGCTGTTATAACCAGAAAACCGGATGTACCGGGTGATAGTTGGCTAGGACCTGTCTATCCTACAGCATTAGCAGACCGTCTGCAGGGCACCAGACCCCCTACTCTTGATCCATTTAAGGCTGACGAAAACGATTTCCCTGGACACTTGCCACGGGCCTAAATTCAAACTGAACCCCAGCACTTCGAGATGCTGCTTGGTTTGCCCTTGCCGGAACCACCCTTACGCAGTACCTTGTCCATACGTTTGCGTCGGCTCATATTACACGCAAGCTTCATGATGTGTGCAAGTTTCATAGAAAGTTTATGGTGACGGGAGCTTTGCTAGGTTCAAGGCTATCGACAGGTAAAGCTTAACGCAAGGATCTAACCACTTCAGGTTGCAAGCCACCATGGAGTCTCCAGGCCAGTTACACGAATTTCAAGCATTGTCGGCGAGACAGTGACTGGCGTTACCAATGCATATACGCTCAACCCACCCTCATCCTGAAGTAACCACAAAATCCCAAAAGTTGAAGAATCCTCGCCCAACCAGCAGTCAAGAGGCAGTGATCCGTAGAACTGATCGACATCAACGGGGCTGCATCCTCCTCGTCCTTGCGCAGAAGCTCTTTACAAGGATTCAGGGGTGCAGGGCCCGGGGAAGAAGTAGAGCAGCAGGGGGGAGGAATAGTGGTGGAAGAATTTTTCCGTACATGTTCTGAAAGACAACATCCTAGCTTTCATCCCCGCTTGTTACTAGTTCCCTGGAGAGTCAAAAGTCTGACCACCCTTTGAACCCCGAACCCCACAGCCTCCAAAGCAGAATCTCTCACACCCGACAAGTGTGTAACAATGAAACTCATTTCTAGATGCGTTATCTATGGGGGCCACCCGGATTCCCCCAGCCCAACGTTGCTCCAAACTTGCATGCTGCACCCACCCAGCCAGTTATCAGGTCAAACTACAGCTTCTTCCCACACTTACCCATTCCGGGCTCCATAGTTAGTGCATGCCCTACCTGGCCCTGCCTGTTTCTCCCAACAAGCGTGGGAAATCACATCTATGCATGCGAGCAAAAGTCTCTGAATGTTTCCTACTGCACGGCCGCAAATCCTTTTTCAACTCACAGTGGCACAGCTGCAAGCTGGCTTATGACACTTCTTTTCGGGCAGGACACCAGAGCTGATAGGGTTACAAGGCATTCGATCATAGTCGCACGGAGATGCACTTGGATGTCAGCTAGTCCCGGGGCTGCTTCTTGGAAGAGAATTCTCGATAGAGCCCGGGGGCTACATGAGCAGCTTACCCAATGAAGTGTGAATTGAAGCTAGATCCTTGGTCCTCTTTCCCAACCCTCAAATGAACCCTAAGTAACAAATCCCAAAGCCCAAACCCTACATTCCATGGCCACCAAACCGCAACTCCACAACCCTAAACCCTAAGCACTACTCCCCGGACCTTACATACGAGATATGAAGCCCTGAAGGCCAAAACGTGGTCGCCCTCCTCTGTCGGGAGAGTGCACGCGCGCTTGCTTGGCAGGGGACCGGGCTTTTCGCGCGGCCGCCCTGAAAGGATATCGAAGAACAGTTTAGGCTTTATGGATTGAGGCTAGCGACTTAGGGTGTGGCTTGGGCTGGGGTGTTTAGGACTTAAGGTCGAGGACTTAGGATGCGATTTCGGGATGAGAGTTTGACATGAGGGTACAGGGCTGAGCGTCTAGGGTGTGAAATATGTATGATAGTTTGAGGTTCAGGATACAGGGCTTGGGGACCAAAAGGAGGTTACTACTAGGATTGGGGTGAAAATATCTTAGACCATGAGGAACTGTCAGCCAAGAATGTGTCCTTGGCTTCACTGGTTGAATTGCAGAACATGCCGGTAGCGTACTTCATACAGGTGTGTCCTAGACTTGCTTGCTAGCAAGCATGGGGTAAAAACTGCCCAGGGCATCTGTGAAGAGCTGCCTGACACAGATCCAAGCACGAACTGCTATGGAACTCTGCACGTGCGGCTCTCACGTGCCCCTAAAGCTCTAAGACTATAAGAAAAAAGTTGGCAGCGTCTTCTTACTAGCATTATCATGCATTCTCCACATGTTAACCGCAGGAAGTCGAAGCTAAGGCTGACAGAGATGGCCAACACTCCATGCAACTTAGAGAGACTTGAAAGTAGAACTTCTCTCGCAAGCCTCCCACCCGGAGATCCCCCACAGCACCCCCAACGAAATGGAGCCCATAAAGAGACTCTAGTGATCTTGATGGAGGCCTGCTTGGTCTCCCATAGTAGTTCGGGCCGCCTGAGACTGTTCACTGAACAAGGGTCGAAGTCAGGGTTCAAGATTTCGCGTTTAGGGCTCACGGTGATGTGACGCGGCGGGTCTTGAAACCCTGGACCAGAAATCTCAACCTTTCATAGCCCCTCAAAGAAAATGCATAATACCTTCCGAAAACCCTAGACCTTGCTCTCACCACTTGCGCAGGAATCCTGAAAAGCGTCCTCTCCTGCCCTCTTTTTGGGTCTCTGCACATAGTCCTTGCAACGACCTCTCTGGACCCCAGAAGAAACGCCTAACGTCTTAGTCTCCAAGTTAACACTTGTATCTTGCAGGGCTGCAACCAATACGGATCAGGCCGCAAATCATGACTACTTTCCAAGCCATGAACTCTGAACCCGACTGAAACCCTTTTAACCGCCAAATCAAAGCCCCATCAAACTCAAAGCCATAAGCCCCAAACTCTAAACCCTCCCCAAAGCCCTTTGTCCCCAGCTCGAAGCCCCATAACCACAAGCCTCACCTAAACACCAAAGCCCAATGGCCAGCACCTTCCAAGGTCGCGAGGCGCTGTCGAGGTCGACGCGGACTCACGGAAGGCAGCATGTCATCGGCCTCGCCAACCGTATAGACTGATACTCCTGAGAACTGATCACCCTCATGTTGGGGGCACTGCATTGAACCACCACATGCCAGAAGTAGCTGCGGCAGCAAAAGCAGAACCACCGGCCGTGGCCACTGCGCACAAGCACCCACAGCCCCACTGGCGGCAGCAGCACTAGCAGAAGCACAGAGCATACCACCACAGGGTTGACAGGAACCATCGTGACGATTGGTATATTAAAGGTTAGTAATACTGTTCTGACTTCCATGATAGCACATCCCGCATGACCCTCAGTACACGCTAAACTGTTGGGACCGCGGAAAGTAGAGCAAGCGGGACTCGAAGGTCAACCTTTTGTGTGCAGGTTAGGACTGCTTGGGGCAAAAAATGGAGAAATGTCTGACGTGGGCGGGATTTCTGAAGCTCTTGGGATGCAGAGAACTGGCTCAGGCTAGGGTTTTTCAATTTAAAGCCTTGACTGGACTTTAAATCCTAAGCCAAAGCTGCAGGGACGCCTGAGATGCTTCGGAGAACGATCCAGCAGCGGTCTCAGCCTCGGCGTCGTCCTCGTCTTTGCTCACCTTTGGGGGTCAGGAGTGTCGAAGCTTTTGCATCTAGGCCGTCGAGGCTGGCCGAAAGGATAGCAAACTTCGACACCCATTTGCAAAACCGTTATAGTGCTCCTAGAAGCTTTCTTTCAATCCTTACAGATCTCCATCTCTCTCTCTCTCTCTCTCTCTCAACATAGAACCCGTGAGCCCCAAATGCAAAACAAACGCCCCCAAATTTGACCACCATTCCCGTCTATACCCTTAGCACTATGAAACTGACTCGTAAAATCCTAGCACCATCGACCCTACCACCCTTTTACCTTCAGACATCCTACTCCCAACAACAAACCCGAATTCCGAATCCTCAACCTTACTCTTCAAATCCCGAATCCCAAATCCTCAGTCCACATACCCTGAACCCTACCTACCCTGATCCCAAAACGTAAGCCTTCATGTGATAGTTTCCCTAAATAGGGGGACCCCCATATAGACCCAATAATACTATAATCCTTATTATAGGGACCAATAAGGTACCCCTAATTTTGGGAAACCCCCATGTGGTCTCACCCCAGCTCTGCCTTCTCCGGTGCCAAGTTCCCCAGCGGCCGCCGCACTGAGGGTGGCGCTGAGGCTGGAACCGGTGGGTCGAAGTTGGCCTCTGCTCTGGGGGTCTCATAGGACTTATGCACTAACTGGCTTCTGGACTAGGGTTTCTTCAGGGATGAGGGTTGCGGGTTGGAGTAGGCCCCACGGTAGCTGGAGGTGAATGATGCAAGGTACGTGACGGTTAAAGTGAGAACTACCTAGTCTCGCACACTTTTTGGCACGTAATGTTATGGCCTCAAATCTAACCAGTCAATCAGCCCCATGAACGGTAGGGTTTTGGTATCTCTGTGTCTGGGGGGGTTCAGGAGCTGGGGTTTTTGCGGGAATGGGATTGGGCAGGGATTCCAATCAGGCGTTTACATTGGGCCTTGGAATGCATTCTATTGGATTCTATTGGATTCACCAAGCCCTTCTAAGCAGAGGTTGAAGTTGACCTATATATGAGTGCTCAAGGTAGTTCCTGGTAGCCGAACGGCGTGTAGAATAGTTTTGGGCAAAGAAATTAGGCTTCGAAAGTTCACATTCTCAGCGTCAAGCTGCCCTGCGCGAAACATGTCAGGGAGTGCTTACAACAGATGTCTGATACCGTAGAACTCCTCTTCAAATGGATGCCGCACATGCACTCACCAAGTCTCTTAAGGAACCCTACATACGCCCACAAAAGCTCAAAGAAAAACACCTCATAAACCCTGTATCTATATCCTCCTATCACCCCTATAGAACACTGTGAACCGCTTCCCATAACAACAAGAAAAAGAACATCTTTTGTAAACTTGGAGCTCCCATCGACGCATCTAAGCCCGAGCGCCCAGAATGCAGCCAAAATGCAGGAAGAACCCCTTCAACATTTACTGCTGCTCAAAAGCCGTCATCTCCGTTTTCGAAACTCATGCCTGCAATACCCAATGGTTCAAAAAAGCTCCGAGCATCCACACCCTGGACCACCCGTAGCCCCGGGACCTCAAACCCCCAAGCCCAGCCAGTAGCCTGAACTGCCACGCTGACGCCCGGATCTCCTTGGGAAGCTCAAGCAACTTCACTTACAGATTGTTAGGGCGCGGGGTTTACGTAGGGGCTTATCAGATTCATCCACGAAACCTCTGATTCCTACATGTGGAACCCCTGCAAGGCCTGCATCATCCCATAACCCTGAGTTAACTGCTAAAAGACCAGAACTGACAGCTTAACCCCGAAACGCTTACCACAAATACCGAGCTGCTCTGCTAAACGCCCTGAACCCGAAACCTTTGCTGAACCCAAACCATGCTGCCTCCCTGATTGCATTCAAAGGCTCGTGATGGCGGAGTGCCCTCTGAGCCCTCGCCGCATGAAAAGGCGGTGTCTTGGGGGTAGGGATTTCTGGACCCTGCTCTCAAATTTCGCGTAGGGTTTGGGGTGTGAAGTTTACGAATTTTGGAATAGGGCTTGGGGTTCGGGGTTTGGGATAGTGCCAACAAAAATGCCCAAGAGTCTTTCAGTGATTCAGACGGTTCAGGGGTCTGACTTGTACGGCTCTGAGGGGTCATAGGGTTAAAAGGGCCAATGAGGTTTTCCTTAATGCTTTGAGTGGTTATCATGCCTTAAGATTGTCGAAGCGCCAAAGGCTGCGGCTTCGGGGTCCCTGGTCGAGCACAATCAAAAGCCTCAACGGCACGATCAAGGGTCTTGTTCACATGTTGGACGTCAGCCACTTTGCCGCTTGATATTCTGCATACGGGTCCTGCACGATCGGCATCGACAGCACGGCCGTGCATGCAAAGTAAGTTACAGGGCTGAGCGGGGCTCCCTGGCGAGACCCTGCATATTGAAAAACAAAAGCAGGTGCGCTAGAGGAAGCCAGTGGAGACCCGCACCAAACAAAGGACCCCTGTCCTCGGCACCCGCCTCCCTGCTTTGTGGATACCAGCACTGCTTACCAAAAAGTTTGGGTGGAAAAAGGGCAAGGAATTCATGCTTGCGGTTGGATGGAGTAGCTGGCCTGTGGTAATCAAGGGAGGGTCCCGAGCTTGGCATTACACAGCCGTTGAAGACAAAGACAAGTCCTAAGAAAAAAACTGCTTGGCCACAAAAAACTTGTTGGAGATGACATGGCACGCCTCGAGATCGAGGCTATCACGCCCATCAATGATGTAGCCCCTGTAATGTAGCACCAAGCCCCTTGCTCCAAAGTGCGACCTAGTGTTTTGGACACTCCTATTTGCAGCTGGACCTACGACCAGAAGCTTGAGTCTTGGGCTGCAGACTTATTGCTCTCGCTCCATTTCCTGATCCCTTGTATTGTGTCCGCTCAAGCTAAACTTCGTATGTCCCAAAAAAATCCTGCATGCTCTCCATACAACCCCTTCAACCATAGACCCTTATGGCCTGTCGACTGAAGCAAACCCGGCTACCGGACGGCGAAGGCATGTCGTCCTAAAGGGTTCCAGAAGTTTACCCGTTCGGTTTAAGACTTGGGGCTTTAGGCTCAGGATCTCAGATTGAGGGCTTAAGGATGGGGATCTCCAGGTGGTTGACATTCCTCTTGAAGCAGGGCTTAGGGCTTAGGGCTTCGAAGAAATACTAGCTGCTAGGCAAAAAGTAAAAAGATCTAGTGGCTGAAAGGGGACATCAAGAGCAAACCAAAGGGGGATTTCCTGGTACAGAGTTGTGAGGTAGGTATAATCGTTTACAGCAGGGCTTGCAGACGGCATACACGAGGAGAATAGGTTGTATTGTAATGGAAAGCTGCCTACCTGAAAATGTCTGAGACAGAAGTCTCTGTGGCTTGGGGGGATTCCATGAGCAGTTCTGAATGTACCACCCGGTTTGGAGGGCAGTCATGCTGTGTTTAAGGCTAGAGCTTGGGGTCTGGGGGTCTTTCACGTGTTTATAAGATCTGAAACCCCTTGTCCCTCACACTGCGCACCCTTTCTCTTAGCCTTGCAATGAATAAGTCCAGGCCCCCGCTGATGGGATTTCTTTACGATGCTCTTTGCCGCCCATTTTTACGCCACGGTTTAGGGTCGAAGGCGAAGGATACGTGTACATCCTTAGCAGAGAATCTTGAAGCCTAAGCTCGCATGCTCGAACCACAAAGCCCTTCACGTGCTGTCGTTACTTCCAAGCCTGAACTAAAGGCCGGTTACGCTTGAGGCTTCAGATCCCCTTAGTTGAGCTTGGGACTTTTTAGCTGCTGATTCAGCCGCGTACAAAGTCTAAACTAAGCCCTGAATAACCAAATCCCCTGCAAACAGAGCCGCCCCAAACTCACATCCCCATACCCTCGACCGCACTGGAGTACTTCCGATACTTTAAGCTCTGAACCCGGATCATTGCCATTGCCCTAATTACTCCTTACGGCCAGCCTCAGAAGGTTTGAGGAAAAGTCAAGACTAAACTCTCAACCTGACACTTCACCCTCCAACACCTACACCCTGAGCCCAACAACCTCAACTCTAGACCCCAACTCACAAAATCTAAAGCCTCCAAGACCCTCAACATTGACACTAGCCCTGAGCCGCTGGGCCCGAAAACTTTAACTCTAAATCCTTCACTCTGACCTCCAAACCCTTAACCCTAAACTCTAACTCCCCGGACCCTAAGCTCCAAACCCTTTTTCCTCCTCCTCCCCGCAAGATACATCCTTGGAGGATGGAATTTCAGGAGCCTCACAGCCTGGCAGATGGGTTTGCGGATCACGCGATCCAGGGCAACGGGTTTGCTGTGCAGAAATTTGTGGGTTGGGTGCAGGATGTCAGCACGTTGGGATTGTAGGGAGTTAGCAGGGTTCCAGTGTGGGGCATTGGTCGAGGGCTCCGGGGTTGGGGTCGGGTTGAGGGTTCCTGGGATAAACTGCATCAATATGTCATGGAATGGGACAGGCTCCCGAACCCTCCGCACGGATCCGCACGGATGCCAAGATTACGCTGGAATTGTGGAGCGCTCCCTCTTACGAATCATGGTGTGCGTAACTGTTGCCAGTGTGATGTAGCAAGATGTCGCCATGCAGGGATAGCATAGCGTGTCAGGCCGAGGAATTTGATGTCTGACTTAGCGTTGGGATCATGTTTGGACTTATGGGTTGGCCTCTGGGCTCTGAAGCTGATTACTACCCTCACCGCCGAAGAGTAGGCTGGGCGTAGGGTTGTGCGGGATTGGCTTACATGGTGCGAAGGTGGTGAACCCAAACACGAACACAAAACTCTCAACATTACCTTTGCTAACCTGCATGCTACAAAATTTCAGGCAACCCCTACACAAGTCCTGACACCAAGCAAACACCTACCTGTTCCTTGTGCTATCCATACAGACAGGTGTTTCTTAAAATCACGAGGGGAAGACCGCAATCTACCTGTGTAAGTGCTGCAGCCTTGGGGTGCCTTAGAGTACACAAGCTATACTCAGAATCCCCACATCCAACCTTATTGCTGAAAACCACTGACTTGAGCCACTACCCTGCAAAACATGTGATTAGATACATGAAGTAGGGCTTGAACAGTTACTGGGGGAGGCACAGCATTTGGTCGTCGTGCAAGAAGAACGCTCCGTCGCCGCGTAAGCGCGCGCAGAGAAAGCGCACGCGTTGCAGCAGAGGCCGAAAAGCATGGTATACGTGGCACTTCGGGCATGCGCACACGCCTGCAAACAAAGCATATATGCAGCCGGATTTCACCTAGAAAACTGCGAAAATCGCGTTTTCGGCCGGGAGGCGGTCTTCACGGTTTTTTTCAATAAGGCATGTTTTGATACAGAAGCACGCTAAAAGCCGGGCACACGTGGCTTTTCGGGCATGTCAAGACAGAGCTTCAGTGAATGCAAACATGTTTGGAAACGTCATGCACGCAGCTCGCAGTGACATGCTTTGGAGCTGGAGGCGCTTTGTTCGTGTCTTGGAGGAGAATCATGGTTTGGGCATGGATGCTCTGGTCAGCGTATGCTCTTGGAACACCAACGGAATCATGGTTTGTGCGTGGATGCTCTGGTCAGCGTGATGCTGTTGGAAGACGAAGAAACTTACTGGCCATCACAGTATTTCGTGAAAGTCGTAAGCTGC